ATTCCCTTGGGAAACCCGCATGGGAAGAAGCGTGAAATTGGCGGCCTCGAAGACGAGGGAGAGGGCTCCCATCAACAGTACAAGCGCCACATTCACATGATCAACGGTGGCAACACCGGAGGCGATTCTACGAGCCAAAGGAAGAAGTGGGCACAGTCCCTCTACGTTGGGGAGGTCAACCACATGCCCCCTACTAAACGGCCGAAGGCGGATCCAATTTTCTTCACAGATGCGGACCTCCCCTCGGGTTCTCTGCCGCATAGAGATGCCCTCGTCATCCGCACTGAGATCAATGACGCCATCATCCACCGGACTTATGTCGACACGGGGAGTTCTGTCAACGTCATGTACCTCAGCACCTTTCAGGAGTTGGGACTCGACAGGCGGTCCCTCCGACACATCAACACCCCCCTCTCCGGATTTACGGGGGACAGCATAGACGCCGAGGGCGTCATCACCCTCGTGGTTGAGTTCGGCGACGGATCCCATAGAGCCAAGCTCGAAGTGGAATTCGTCGTCGTCAACCTCGACTGCGCACACAACATCATCCTCGGCCGGCCCGCCCTCGAGGATTTGGAAGCCGTCATCTCTATGAGGCATCTCTGCCTCAAGTTCCCCACACCCACCGGCATCGGCTACTCGAGGGGGAATCAAAAACTCTCCAGGGCCTGCTACCTTCAACTTACCAAGAAGGTTAGTAAAACAGAACTACGTGTGGACACCATCACCGCCAGGGCCTTGGAGGAAGAAGAAGGCAGGCCGAGAGCTGAGCCTGCCGAGGAGACCGAAGACTTGATACTCGATCCGGCCAAGCCGGAGAGAGTCCTGAAGATTGGAGCCAAGCTCCCCGAAGACTTGAAGGCTGGCATCACCAAAGCCCTCCGCGCCTACTCCATTGTTTTTGCATGGGGGCCGGAGGATATGCCGGGAATTGACCGAAGGGTCATCACCCACCGCCTAGCGGTGGACCCTTCGGCCAAACCAGTACAACAGCGGAGAAGACCCCTCTCGGCCGAGAGAAGGGAGTTCGTGAAGAAGGAGGTAGCCATGCTCCTCTCCATCAAACATATCAAGGAGGTGAAATACCCCTCTTGGTTAGCAAATGTAGTCCTTGCACAGAAGCCTCCTACCTTCCGCATGTGCGTGGACTACACTGATCTGAATAAGGCGTGCCCTATGGACCCCTTCCCTCTGCCAAACATTGATCAACTGGTGGATGAGACCGCGGGATGCGAAATCATGTCCTTCCTCGACGCATTCCGCGGGTATCATCAAATCTATATGCATGAAGAAGACGCTGAAAAAACTGCCTTCATGACACCCGAAGGCATCTTCTGCTACCTCGTGATGGCCTTCGGCCTCAAGAATTCAGGCGCCACCTACACCCGAATGGTGGCCAGGGTCTTTCAAGCTGTCTTGGGGCGCACTATGGAGGCCTATGTTGACGATATGATTGTCAAGAGCAAGAAGGCCGGCACTCACGCCGAGGACCTCCAGGAAATCTTCGCCATCATGCAAAAATTCAACCTCCGATTGAATCCAAAGAAATGCACCTTCGGCGTACAAGGTGGAAAGTTCTTGGGCTACATGGTCAGCCGAAGGGGTATTGAGGCCAACCCCGAGAAAATTCAGGCCATCATCAACATGGAGCCTCCGCGCAACGTCAAAGAAGTTCAACGGTTGACGGGTCGCCTGGCGGCCCTCAACCGATTCCTCTCTAAGTCAGCCGAGAGGGCCCTCCCCTTCTTCCAAATCATGAGGAGGACAGCTGGCTTCCAATGGACATCTGAGTGTCAAGAGGCCTTCGACGAACTTAAGAAGTACCTCTCTTCTCCCCCGGTGCTCTCCAAGCCGAAGGTGGGGGAGACCCTATACTTATACCTCGGCGTTAGCCCTGCGGCTATCAGCTCAGTACTAATACGAGAGGAAGACGGCATCCAACATGCCATCTTCTACGTCAGCAAAACCCTCCGGGAGGCCGAACTCAGATATTCTCCCGTTGAGAAGACGGTGCTAGCCATCGTTTGGACCGTCAAGAAGCTTGGCCACTACTTTCAGGCTCATCCGATCCAAGTGCTCACTCATCAACCCCTCGGCGCCCTCATGAGGAGCCCCACTAGCTCCTCCCGGATGGTAAAATGGGCCATCTTCCTCAGCCAATACAACATAGATATCCGTCCGAGGCCTGCCATTAAGGGCCAAGCCCTGGCAGACTTCGTAACGGAATGCACCGCAAGATCAGCAACTGACGAGGAGCCTTCGGCACCCCTCGATGAGTGGTGGACACTCTACACCGATGGCTCCTTGATAGACAATTTAATAGTCCTCGCAAGTGCACGAGTCGCGGTAGTACAGTGCTCAAGTAAGGGTCGAATCCACGGGGAAAATGCAACTAAGTAATTGGAAAACTATTAATTAATAAAAATAAAAGTGAAATTAATCTAACTAAAAAAATGAATTTTGAATTTGTTTGATTTGAAACTGAAAAGTAAAGCTTGAATTAAAATGGATGCAAGGAATTTAAATGAATGAATATAAAGTAATTAAACAACTAACGGAAATTGGTTGAGAATTTAGCAAGAGAAGAGATAGTCCAGGATTATGAATCAGTCACTACTTTTTAGTATTTGTAATTTAGTTAGTCAATTAAAATTGAGGGGTTCGTTCTAGACAGAAATATGACTATTCCGTATGGCGTCCGGAATAAGTCACGTACTTTAACTATTAATCAACAGGAAATAATTAATTCAATAGTTAAAATCCATTTATCACAAAAGAACTACGGAAACCCGATTTAACAACCAAATAGATAACTTAACAAGACAGTCAAGTTATCTATTCTTTTATCCAAAAGAGCTCGGAATAATAGGCATGGCATGTACTCTATTAATCCACTCATACAACTTAATTAATTATACTAAAGTTGGCCAGAAATTAACATAATCAATTAAGCGAATAAGAATAATGGATAAAACTCAATCAATTGGCCTAACTAGGATCACAATTCATACTAAATCATAGCAACTTCATCATACTCCTGGACTTAGAAATTTAGCTACTCATATTAAAACTGGCTGAGAGTGAAACAACAATAACTAAAGAATTCATCTTGATCAACTTAATGATCAGCAATTGATTACCGTGAATACTCAATTTATTAAAGTAAGGCACATATGATAAAATGAAGAAGTGGAATTCCAGAACAGAAAGAATTTGTCAAACCAGAGTTGTTTTCTGGAGATAAGTTTTCTGAACTAAATTGCTAACTTTCACAAGGAAGAAAGCCTGGTGATGTCCTTTGCTTCTAACAGACAAGTTCGGAGAATTATGCGTCCTCCTTAAAGCTGCTGCGGAGACTGAAATCAGGAGATCACCTCTCTTCCAAACGCAAGCCCAATTCTCCACTCTTTCGGCAATTAGCTGTCCGCCCTTTACTCCAAAAATCGTCCTCCCCAAAACCCTTGCTGCTGCGTGTTTTTATAGGGAAGGATTACAGCCGTTTCACTCACTTAAACTCCGGAGATCTCGCTGCCGTTTGAGAGTAGGAGTCCTCTTTGCCGCAATTTGTGGAGCCGTTTAGACCTTGAAAACTTCTGCACTTGCTCCAGCCGAATTCTTCTTGCTCTTAACTTCCTGGCTTCTTTTTCTTTTCTTATTTGTGTAGCTTTTGGGCTGCTGGTACGGTCCATAAGAAAAAGACTTACTGCCTCCTCTATTTTGGACTGTTTAGAATTATAGGCCATGAGAAAACCTCCTACATGCAAGACTCTTTCTTCAATTGTAAATAGGCCCAAACTTTCTGCTTCTTTTCACAAGCTGGGGTTCAGAATTAAAATCTCACAAACCAGTCCAAAAGTACTCAATTTATTGAAATCAAATCCTCACCTGCAAAAGTTATTTTTAAGACAAAAGTAAGATTAAAACCTCTCAACTAGGCAAATAATAAGTATAGAATTGTGATAAAAATTAATCACAAATTCTAACTTATCAAACTCCCCCACACTTGCATTTTGCTTGTCCTCAAGGAAAATTAAAATCAAGAAACAATTCCAGCTCCAAGTGATCAAAATTCCCTTCCATTCACCAAGCATACCAACATTCCCCTCCATGACAAAATATCCCAAGAAATTCAGATCAAGTATCCCCACAATGCCAACTCAAAAGTCAGTCACCTAGACTCACATGTCATTAATAAAGATGTGTTTTACAATTCTAAATGACCTAGTGAGATGCTCAAATAACTTACACAGATATTATGCAAAATCCTAAGCCAATCAGTCAACACTCTATAGTCATCTTATGCTCTTCCGTCCACCTTATCAAAGCACAAACTTGATCAAGATCACTTAGGACTTTTATTCGGGTTGTAACGTGGCCATGGGTAATGGGTTAATGAAAGAAAGGATATGGGAATTCAAACAATGGAGATGACATTTTATATACCAAATTGATCCTAGGAAGAGTTCAATAAATGACAAAGGGAGCAACTAATCTATTACGACATACAACCGGCTTCTAAGATAAAAAGATACAAATAAAAAGCTCAAAGAATACAACTTCAACTCACTTCTTCTTCTTTTTTTTCTGCTTTTTTTTCTGTTTTTTCAGCTTTTTTTTTTTGGACTTTTTTTTTTTTTGAAACTTTTTCAAACCTTCAATCCACTGACTGCTCACAAGAATCAACACCAACATCATTGAATCTATACAAACTGCCAGGAATAACAACGGAAAATGCTCCAAAAAGATAAACTCTTCCTAGTCACAAGTTAAGTATAAAAAAAATGTCAACTCAAGGGTGTGAGATAATATTTGTCTATTTGGGCTCGGGGTCAACATTGAGGGGTATTAGAAAGAATTATTAGTCAAAAGTACGGTAGAATGCTTTAAGACAAATTAGGCTCAAAGGGGTAGCAAGCGGGAATACAAATAAACAAAAGGGTAGGCTTAAAGGTTTGGGGCTATGAAAAAAATGGCCTAGATCACATCTCAATCAGTTTGCACAATAATTTAGCTTCCAAAAGAGCACAAGACAAGTTCTATCATGCTAGCTAAAAGACATAGGACTCACACTCTTTCCAAGAACGTTAGAGATGCATCCTAAGAGGTCATAAAGAATTGAAAAATACATCAAGGTTAATGACACAAGAAGCTAAGAAATTGACTCCAAGTAAAACAATGTGAAGGACTCATTCAAATTCAAGAGGAACTCTATCACGGAGACCACCAATCATACCACATACCAATGAAAGGGAAACTTCTCACAGCTTGAAGCCAAAAAAGTAATCCTGAAATTAAATTTTCCTCAACTCCAAGCAAGAAAAACAGTTTTTTTTTTTAAAAGCAGTTTTTTTTTTTGTGATTCTGAAACTAAAATAGAACTAAAAACTGAGAGTTACTCCTCCCCCACACCTATCTCAAACATTGTCCTCAATGGAGAAATAATAAAAAGACAAAGGAAAAGAAATACTCCCTGAAAGCGCTTCAAACTAAAACTTTAACAACTTGAGAAGTAACCTGCAAAACTAAGAAACAAAGAAAGAAAAGAAAAGAATGGGGAAAGGGGAAACAGAATAAAAGTTTTTTTTTTTTAGAAACTGTGACTAGACACAACATGAGCAACGGTATTCCCGAAGCTCAAGACACTCAACTTGCTCGACTACATCTTCACTTTTCAAATATCGCTTCACTCGTTGACCGTTCACCTTAAAAACATTCCCAGATTTCGGATTTTCAAGTTCAATTGCACCATGGGAAAAAACTTGGCGAATCAAAAACGGTCCAGTCCACCTAGATTTTAACTTCCCTGGAAAAAGCCTCAAACGAGAGTCATATAACAACACCTCCATTCCAGGTTTAAAATCTCTCCTCAAAATGGATTTATCATGAAAAAGTTTAGTGTGTTCTTTATAAATTTTCGCACTCTCGTATGCATCATTCCTAATCTCATCCAGCTCATTCAAATGCAATTTTCTCAAGTAACCTGCTTCTTTAAGATCAAAATTTAGCGCCTTGATAGCCCAGTAGGCTCGGTGTTCCAACTCTACAGGCAAATGACAAGGTTTACCAAAAACTAACCTGTACGGGCTCATTCCAATTGGGGTTTTGTAGGCTGTCCGGTAAGCCCACAATGCATCGTTCAGCCTATTAGCCCAATCCTTACGTGAAGGATTCACGGTTTTTTCCAGAATACCTTTAATCTGTCTGTTACTCACCTCAACTTGCCCCGAAGTCTGTGGATGGTAAGGTGTTGCAACCCGGTGCGTAACACCATACTTTTTCAGCAATCCTGCAAAAAACTTGTTACAAAAGTGGCTGCCACCATCACTAATGATAGCCCTTGGTGTCCCAAACCTAGCAAAAATTACCTCCTTCAAAAAATTCAGCACCACTCGACTATCATTAGTTCTAGTGGCAATAGCTTCAATCCATTTAGACACGTAATCAACTGCAACCAGAATATAATTAAACCCAAAAGAAGTAGGAAATGGGCCCATAAAATCAATACCCCAAACGTCAAACAAGTCAACAACCAGATTATTTGTAAGAGGCATCTCATGACGTTTGCTAATATTCCCTACTCTCTGACAACGATCACATTTAGCACAGAAAGAAATTGCATCTTTAAAGAGAGTAGGCCAATAAAAACCAGATTGCAAAACCTTGAATGCAGTCTTTTTTCCAGTAAAATGCCCACCACAATTCAAAGTATGACTATGACGTAAAACACTCTCTTGTTCATGTTCAGGAATGCAACGCCTAATAGTCTGATCAGGACAGATTTTAAACAAGTAAGGTTCATCCCAAAAATAATATTTCACTTTGGAGAGAAAATGTTTTCTACCCTGTGAATTTAAATCGGGATGAAACTTACCGGTAACCAAATAATTCACAAGATCAGCATACCATGGTTCTTTATTCATCACAGAAAACAAACCTTCATCAGGAAACCTATCGTTAAGAGGCATCTCTAGCTCTTTCCCAGAATGTCCAGTCTGATCAGAGAGGCGTGATAAATGATCAGCCACCACGTTCTCGCTTCCTTTCTTGTCCCTGATAGACAAATCAAACTCTTGCAACAATAAAATCCACCTAATCAGCCTAGGTTTAGCATCCTTTTTCATCAACAAATATTTCAAAGCAGCATGGTCAGAATAGACAATCACCTTAGATCCAATCAAATAAGACCTGAACTTTTCTAATGCAAAGACAACTGCTAACAATTCTTTTTCAGTTGTAGAGTAGTTAATCTGTGCATCATCTAAAGTTCGACTGGCATAATAAATGACATAAGGCAGCTTGTCAATTCTTTGACCCAAAACAGCACCGATTGCAAAATCGGAGGCATCACACATAATCTCAAACGGATAAGACCAGTTCGGGGCAGCAAGTATTGGGGCAGAAGTTAATTTTTCTTTCAGCACATTAAAAGCAACAAGACATTCATCATCAAAGCTAAAATCTGCATCCTTAGCTAACAGATTACATAGAGGTTTACAAATCCTAGAAAAATCTTTAATAAACCTTCTATAAAAGCCTGCATGACCAAGGAAACTACGAACCCCTCTAACAGAAGTAGGAGGTGGCAGTTTAGCAATCACGTCAATTTTAGCCCTATCAACTTCAATCCCCCGATTAGAAATCACATGCCCCAAAACGATCCCTTCTTTAACCATAAAATTGCACTTTTCCCAACTAAGAGTCAAATTCATTTGAACACATCTTTCAAGAACTAGCGACAGATTATGCAAACATTGATCAAAAGAGTCGCCAAACAAGGAAAAATCATCCATAAAAACCTCAACAAACTTTTCAATCATATCAGAAAATATAGACATCATACACCGCTGAAAAGTACCAGGAGCATTACATAATCCAAAGGACATTCTACGAAAAGCAAAAGTGCCAAATGGACATGTAAAAGTAGTTTTTTCCTGGTCTTCCGGAGCAACCGGAATCTGATTGTAACCTTGAAAACCGTCAAGAAAGCAATAGAACGCATGACCAGCCAAGCGCTCTAACATTTGGTCAATAAAAGGCAAAGGGAAATGGTCTTTTTTAGTGGCAGCATTTAATTTTCTATAATCAACACACATTCGCCACCCTGTGGTAACCCGTGTGGGTACCAACTCATTTTTCTCATTACTCACGACAGTAATCCCAGACTTCTTAGGCACAACTTGCACAGGACTAACCCATTTACTGTCAGAAATAGGAAAGATAATACCTGCATCGAGCAACTTTAGAACTTCCACACGCACAACCTCCTTCATGTTCGGATTCAGCCTCCGTTGAGGTTGCCTACATGGAGTAACACCTTCTTCCAACAAGATTTTATGCATACAAACCGTTGGGCTAATTCCTTTCAAATCAGAAATCGCCCAACCAAACGCAGCTTTAAACTTTCTCAGCACCTTAAGCAACTGCTCTTCTTGTTCCTGTGTCAGGTCAGAAGCAATAATAACAGGAAAAGTACTATCACACCCTAAAAACACATATTTCAGATTCGAGGGGAGGGGTTTCAGTTGCACTTGAGGTGGATTTTCAGCACGCTGATTTTTTTCCAGCTCACAATCAGCCGCAAATTCCTCACTTTGCACCTCAGTTTTGTCTAGAATATCCCTCATCTCGCTCACTTTTTCATCATCAAACTCTTGCACATCAAGAGTTAAAGCAAACTCAAGCTCATCCTCCTGTAACACACTCAAAGGAACAATAGAATCAAGCATATCAAGTGCAAAACATGAATCAGAATCAGCCGGCATATTCATGGATTTCAAAATGGAAAATTCAACAGTTTCATCAAGCACACTCATAGTTAATTTTCCATTTTGAACATCAATCATAGTTTTAGCCGTTGCCATAAAAGGTCTACCAAGTAAGATTGGCATATCTTTCACATGTTTGCACTGATCACTCATATCTAAAACCACAAAATCAGCGGGAATAATAAGCTTATCAACTTGAACTAAAACGTCCTCTACAATGCCCCTAGGGTATCTTATAGAGCGGTCAGCAAGCTGCAGGGACATTGTAGTGGTTTTTAGCTCATTCAAACCTAATTTCAAATAAACAGAATAAGGCATTAAATTAATACTCGCCCCCAAATCAAGCATAGCTTTTTCAGTTCTAGAATTCCCTAAATTAATGGTGATAATAAAGCTGCCAGGGTCTTCTAATTTTGGGGGCAAGTCCTTTTGTAAAACAGCACTCACAGCCTTAGAAACAAAAATCTTTTCATTCGGCTCATACCTACGCCTTCTAGTGTTTAATTCTTTCAAAAATTTAGCGTAGGCAGGCATATTAGTTATCATTTCAAGAAGAGGCAGATTAACATTAACTTTGGACAGCAAATCATAAATCTCATCAAAAGATTTGTCAAACTTGGAACTTTTTAACCTGTTTGGAAAAGGAACCGACGGCACATATGGTTTAGGCGGAATATACGGATCTTTTGCTTTGTGCAGCCCGGACTCTTCGTACACCGAATCAGCCTCCACTTCTTTCTTCTTTTCAGCTTCTACTTCTTGCTTCTTCTCAGCCTCTACCTTCTCCGGTAGCTTGGGAACAGGCTGCTCTTCGTTTTTCTGAATTACCTTCCCACTTCTAAGAACCGTGACAGCTTTGGCCTCTTCGGATTGACTCGGTAGCTTTCCTTGCACGTGTCCTTGGAGAGATTCTGCAATCTGCCCAACTTGGACTTCTAGCTTTCTCAAAGAGGCATCAGTGCGCTGAAAACGCTGCTCGTTAACTTGCTGGTTGTTGCTGCAGATTTGCATAAAATTCTGCAAAGTATCCTCCAAAGAAGGCTTCTTGGGTTCAACAGTTGGCTGGTTCCCTTGTTGCGCGTTAGACCATGAGAAGTTCGGATGATTCCTCCAACCGGGGTTGTAGGAATTGGAGAAGGGATCGTTCCTTGGCCTTTGATTGTATGAATTCATCATATTAGCTTGTTCAAAACTAGCCTCAGGCATTTCATTCACTGCAGCGGCAGATTGATTCATCGCCATCATGGAACACATATTCTTCATTTGCTTGGATAGCTCGGATATTTGGATGGCCAGTTCTGTACTCGCACCAACTTCGTACATCCCTTGAGTCTTCCCACGAACGCTCTTCTGTTGGGAATTAGCTCCAAGCATCTCATATAGCCCTAGGGTCTGTTCAGCAGTCTTCTCCCCCATTGCTCCTCCAGCTGCGTTGTCAACGATTGCTTGGCTTCCTTGAGTCAAACCGTCATAGAATGTTTGATTTTGGAGCGCCAGGGAATAACCGTGGTGAGGGCACTGTGTGAGCAGCATCTTGAATCTCTCCCACGCCTCATGGAATGGCTCACCTTCAGCCTGCGTGAAATTGGCTATTTTTCTTCTTAATTCTGAAGTTTTGGACTGAGAATAGTACTTGCCGATGAACTTGTTGTATACATCAGCCCACGTGCGCAACGATCCTGGTGTTAAAGACATAAACCATGTCTTTGCAGCATCTTTAAGAGTGTATGGAAAACACCTCATCCTCAGCTCATCTTCTGTCACGCCTTGCAATGGAAAATTCTGAACAATGCCATAGAAGTCTCGAATAAAAATCAACGCATCCTCAGAAGAAAGCCCATAGAAAGATGGCAACTGATTAAAGTGAACGGTCTTCAAATCATAATTGCGGGCAGCTTCACTCAATACAATGCAGGACGGGGAGGCACCTACAGTTGGTCTCCCAAACTCTTTCATCAATTGTGCATCACCCATTTTTGGATTAGCAGCAAATTGGAGCCTCCTTTTTATCCTTTTGCCAATTAAATCTACTTGATCGTTCAACGGAATCAAATCTGGATTAAGTGACCTGCGACCAAGCATACAACAAAAACAAAACAAAAAAAACAAAAAAAACAAGCACAACTAACTAAAATAAAACTAAATTAAAAATTTTCCAAAAACTAGTTAAACAAATCCCCGGCAACGGCGCCAAAAATTGATAGACAATTTAATAGTCCTCGCAAGTGCACGAGTCGCGGTAGTACAGTGCTCAAGTAAGGGTCGAATCCACGGGGAAAATGCAACTAAGTAATTGGAAAACTATTAATTAATAAAAATAAAAGTGAAATTAATCTAACTAAAAAAATGAATTTTGAATTTGTTTGATTTGAAACTGAAAAGTAAAGCTTGAATTAAAATGGATGCAAGGAATTTAAATGAATGAATATAAAGTAATTAAACAACTAACGGAAATTGGTTGAGAATTTAGCAAGAGAAGAGATAGTCCAGGATTATGAATCAGTCACTACTTTTTAGTATTTGTAATTTAGTTAGTCAATTAAAATTGAGGGGTTCGTTCTAGACAGAAATATGACTATTCCGTATGGCGTCCGGAAT